AGCACGTCAACGTATTCCTCACGATGACAAATCTGACTTGTTTTAAAACTATCGGCACGCGACAAAAGTCGTGGCTCGGACTGACTGGTCCGATGACTGAGTCAGACTCAGTAGCTCCTTAATGTGGCCCACTCAGATGTGAGCTACTTACTTGTACTTAGTACGGCTGCGATCATGCCTGATCTAGTCGGTCTCGATGGTGTACCGAACTGTACCCCTACACGCGTGGCGATCCACGGCAGCGGATCCGGACAGTTCAACCCGGTTGCTAATGTAGGCGAAAAAGCGAGTCTCGGGACGTAGTCACGAAAGCTACACGGTCGCAGTAACAAGAGGTCTATTAGGCTGACGTTTCGGGTTCCCACTCGGATCCATCATCAGAAACAGAGTCAGGTAAAGATAGTGGGTTGCCTAGGTGTTGCAGTGTTTATTGGATGTTGTTTATAGGCCGCTACATGCCATTCTCTTCGCCAACAACGGAGGCCGAGTATGGAATGTTCAAGAACCATCCCCATGTCTTGAGGAACTCAGTCGAGCCAGGTTTTGAATTGACTCCCTCATTAACGCCTCCAATGGGGTAACGGTGCCGGAACAAAGGCAGTAACACTCAACCGAGGTGGACAAGGAAAAACATGCCCAAACCGCTTTAGTTTTCTTTCTTGGGTGATCTGGGTTATCCTTGCGATGTTGTCGCAGTGAGCGCGGACTGTCTCATTTGAGACGAAGTCGGTGTCTTTCACCCGAAGGATGGTCCTCAAGCAGTGGTGGCCAGATATCTTGGATGGGATCCGGACTGCCCAGATATGTCTGCGGAGACCAGGTCGTGTGTGGCACGTGTAGACGGACTGCCTGGCTTTGTCAGCCACTGCGCCAGAGCCCGCCTCCAGTCGTCCTGGCTCTGTACTGCCACCGGACCCATGTGGCTGTTGGTGGAGAGAGTTCGGCAGATGTCGCGCAAGTCGACCACCGCCATAAAATAACTCACACGCAAGTCACCCTTCCGTGCCCACCACGGTGTGGAGCAGACGGTGGACATCATCGTTCGCGACAGTCGAAATCCCAGTATTCACGTTTGGATCAAAAAGAAACTGCACAACTTCACTCCTCCAGTTTGTAGAATTCGCATCTATGCTGCAGAAGGTTAGAACTGTCAACTTCGAGGTTAATATGAAATGACTGTATCCTGCTGTGAGTCATGCACTTTTTGACTATTTCTTTTAAGGACTGACAGGCATGTTACTTGGAACGTTTTTTCCAATTAGTCTGTCGTAAGTCGGAAACTCAATTAACCGGAAAATATCCTTTCTGCCGGCAAGGGGACTGAGCACACCACCACTGAGTTATCGCAGTCACACCTGCCACTGACTTCAGGGCAACCGATCATCGTGCGCATTAAAAACTCCCCACTTTTTCACGTACTCGAAACATGCCAGTCATCTGCCATTTTCCTCTACTTCGCCAATTTAAAACTACAGATTGCATTTTATTTGAATTTTTCGAAGCCGTGCAACGAAAAATATGGCTCCTACGGTCAGTTCCTGCTGCCTCCTAGGGTCAGGCGAACTCTTCTGATCTCTCCCCGCTAATGCGCCCTGTTGAGGTCAAGACTTGAAGTTTCTAACATTGTGTCTACGTTGGTAGGACCTGGTTTTGGATTGCCGGCGAATTTTGCCTCAGTGCTTTTACTGGACCAACTTATGTTTGACCTCATGGATAGCATCCTGCGCAAAACACTTCGCAGCCGTTTTCGATTCCTTGTGTCCTACCTTGGCGAAAGTCAATAGCATCTCAGTCCCACTGCCAATTTCCTGGCCGCACCCACAGCCTTTCGTCCACACTCGCAAAGCAACCAATCAGGACTGAGCACTGACGCACTCGCGCTCTCCCGTCTACTCCGCGTACGAACGATTGAGCCCACAGCCGTCGTGACGTCTGCGATTGCTCTGCTGCCGCGAGTTTTCTCGAATTTTTGTCAGCTATTGCGCACAAAAATAACAACTACCCTATGTCAAAAAAGTAATTAGTCAACCTCTTCTCTACGAAGCTACTTCGAGACGGCGGTGGACCTAATTGCGAGTAACTCGAACCGCCCACGCACGATGGGTTGCATTTTGAGGTATTGTGTGTTCGGTCCGCACGAACGGGATGTAGGTGAGTGTTTTACACCCTGCCAAGGCGTCCTGGGAGGCGCAATTTCCATCGTAGGTACCAGTGTGCAGGTACAGGTGCCGGGGCTTGAGAAGACATAGTTTAAAACTTGACGAATCGAACGTTAGAAATGAACGGAAGCCTGACTTGCAAAGCAATTCAGGTGTAAGGTGCATTTGTTGTCTGTCATCTCAGACTTTTTCTACCTAAATTCTTCGCATCTATACTCTCTTGGATGGCAATTTATGTAGCTTAACATCGCGTTAGCATTTCCGAGCTATGAGTTTATTGTGTTTGTGTGGGCATTGCGATTTCATCCTCCTCCCCCTCGCCGTCCTCCTCCTCCTCCTCCTCCTCATCATCATCATCACCATCATCCGCATAATCACCTCCGCCGCCGCCGCCGCCGCCGCCGCCGCCGTCGCCGCCGCCGCCATCACCACCACCATCTCTTCTCCTTCTCCACCTTTGTCATCATTTTTTCATCGTTCTCCGGCACACTGACCAGCACGTTTGTGCATGTTCCACATGCCTCGAAACATCGTTCCCGTGAGCGTTCCGTCTAACTTGCTACGCATTGACAAATCCGCGCATTCGGCTCCTTTTTCCGCACCAGTACACGTCGGCAGCTGGCGTGTACCTGCGTTGTGGTTAGGCAGACACTCAGACCACACACTCTTGTTTGTACCGGCATTCTTGTTGCTAGTTCAGGTGATGAAGTTTGAACTTTGTTTTGGTTTGCGAGCACACATTTCTCGGGTGCTACTTTATTAGAAAGCCCTTCTGTTTCGTGAAGGAGACACGATCACTGGGACAAGAGCTTTATTAGCCTGACGTTTCGGATTCCTGCTCGAACCCATCATCGGAGACAATAACAGATACGGGTTGTTCATCCACAATGGTTTGCAGTCACCATGCTACCGCATACCTATGAACATTCACGGCTCTCCCCTTCATCGGGGATCGTTGCACTTGGTGTGCTAATTGTTTGATAGCCGACATTCACGTCGTTAATTGCTGCAATTTCATCACGTGTGTTGGATGTTGGTGTGATGATTGCCCGACCATCTGACCCACCGACCCTAACGTTGGTAACAGTGTTCACCTGTGTGCTCCACGCGTGATTAATTACTCCGCCTAGGCGAAGTCTCAGCACCGAATATGGAAGGGGAAGGTCATTGCACTTGTTAATGGACTGGAGGCCAGTAAACCATGACTCAAACAGCTCCCATCTCACGCGGTTGTCACCTCTAGCGAGAATTTCGGCCTTGTCGAATTTAAATGTGTGGTGGACTAAAGACCAAAGTGTTCAGGAAAACGACAAATACGTTGCAAGCACGGAACTTCAACAGCAACCACCCAATCAGCCACAAAGACAGTTGTGTAAGGACGCTCTATCGGCGTGCCGGAACGCGCCCATAGAGCTTTTGTGGCCGACTTGGGTGGATTGTTTCGTTTGTTAAGGAGTCGTTAAAAGTGCGAACAAGTGATTAAGCCAAGGGTTCAAGCCCGCCGCTGGCACCTGTCAAAAGACAAGAGGTGAAAGGGAGAGGGGGGAGGGGAAAGCTGGACCGATCAAATGCTGACCCGACGTTCAGTTTCTTTGCTACTAACAATCCAAACCGTCACCACGCGTTAAGACTTGCGGCTTTGAAGGCTGCCACGAACTGAGGATCAGCCTGCAGTAACCTTTCCCAATGTGACCTTTATGGTTACTGTCTTAATTGACGGCCCCGAAGCCCTCCCTGTGGAGTCTAACTTGTGCGCGTGTAGAGACCAACATGTTTCTGGTAGCCGGAGATGTGGATTCATCCCTCTTGGCCGCTTTGTCCACGCCCATATCTAGTCGTTATGATTTTTTTCGGTCACTGGATGTCGTGTAGCTGCTGTAGAAGAGGCATACGACAGGAAGCAGAGGTCAGTCAATGTCGGGCATCACAAAAAGTTGTTTCGTCTTCACCAGAGAGCGTATTTCGTCCTTGCCAGGGAAGCCCATGGGCAAATAAACGCAGCCTCAATGTTCTCCAATCCTTGATTCAATATCAGAATTAGTCTTACAGGAGTAAGATGAGACTGCCTTTAGCCAACACGATCCGAACTTTTTGTGCGTTACGTCGATGGCACCCTTGCTGTCGCCAGGAGGAGGATGAGGAGCATGCTGTAGCATTTCCGTAACTTGTTCAATAAAATCTCTTTGGGTATGAAGCTGTAAAGCAACAGCTACCCCTGGGTCGGTGTTTTCGCCAGTCAAAATCCTAACGCCGAAATCGAGACTACGGCCTACCCAAAGGCAGCGAACAGTGTGCGTCCTCTCAACTCTCACCACAGCCCTCCGGTGAATCACAAAAAAGTTGCATGAGAACGCTCCCCAAATGCAGCAAACCAGGAGACGAGAAATCTGAGGTCCGATATCGCTGCGACCGGCTAACGTAGATCCACTATCTCAAAGGCTTGCGTTTCTGCTCTCAGAGGACCAAGAGGAACCCCAGCGAGGAAACGTTTCAGGGGGCGGTCAAGCACACTCTAACGAGACCAAGTGTTGACACTGAGCACCGACCTACAATTACCATGCTCAGCTGCGTCACAAAGATTAAAAACCACCAAAACTCTAATGTGCGGTTTGGCGCAATGTTGTACCGTATTACGTGCCAGAACTGTCTCGACAATTACACACGACAGACTGAACGCAAGCTCGGGTCGTGCCTACACTGAGACAAGCTGACTGTGTGTCGGGAGGACGAATTATCACAGATGGCTGCTCAAACCGTCGAAGGGGGTCATGGGCTCAACTTCGCAGCTGTCGACATAATCGCTCCAGGCGGGAGCAAAACAAGCCAGCAGTTGGTGGAGACCTGGGCCTCTGAGAAGAACTCTGCAATCCGGCATATGAATCACGCACCCGCAAACAGAGTCGTACGGCGCTATCTCGCGGCCTGCGATACCAGCAGCTGGTCTCCCTGTTTACTCAAAGCATTCGGGCAAAGTCGCTTGGTTGGCATTTCCGCTTCAATTATTGATGGTAGCCCGCTGGACGCACCGCTTCGACCGTTCTTTTCTGAATCGTTGTTAAATGGTCTGACTACCGACCAGCCTACCTTCCGATCTCTGCAGAACGGTAGCTCAGACTAAAATAGACTCACGTTGCGTGTCAGGCAGAGAATATCGGTGAGTTGGCAGCTGACTAACGTGGTTGCCATATCTCAGCTGGCATTAGATATTGCCCGCTTTCCTCCTCTTATCTAATTTCCCGCGGCCGTGTACTTTCGCATTTGCTCAATATGCTTCACTGTGCGATAAGTAGCAATGTTTTAAAACTTTTTTTCCAAATTCCATAGCGGCGGTCCACTCTCTGCACGATTTAAAGTGTACAAATAGTCATTAATGTTTTTTGTAGGATGCTCTAGAGGCCGGAAATCCATTGACTCATCGACTTCAAGAAAATGACTTTGTGCCGAAGATATTATCGGAATTATTTTGACTACCAAATCAGCCCCTGGCCAGTCACAGCGTCAGATGGCTGTGGGCAGGCGGAGCTGTTTCGCGCCTGACACGGCCGAAAGTTCGGCTGTCAATTTTGTCGATGTCCACCATGTGCTCCACAACAGGGCGAGAGCGGATATGGTGACTTGCGCGTGAAGTCGTTTATAGTGGTGGTTGACTTGCGGAGCATCTACGACACTCCTCCTCCTCTTCCTTCTCCTCCCCACCTGGATCCGTTGTCAGGACCAGGACAAGAAGACCGGAAGTGGGAGAGGACGCAAGTTGCTGGCACAGCGTGGACTCGCACCTAGGCGTACCACCACATCCCCTGGCCAACAACAAACACTGCACCAGAATCTTTAACAACAACAGAAGTGGGGGGCAGCAAGGGTCCCAATTGGCGCAGTGTGAGTCTGCAACTGGCCTTGCATCACACCCTGAATGTTGGCATGTGTTATGGGCGCACATGCCCGATAGCGCCTGCCAGACTCTGTTTTGAACCCCCCTGCGTTGGTCCAGCGCATCTACCGCGTTGCTCGTTTTAGGGGAGCGGAGTTTTTACCTGCGGGGTCCGCATGTCGTGCGACTCCATTCCTTGTCACATAAATTCTTCCAAGGCCCTTCAGGGAAACATCATTTACGTCAACCATCAACAGTCGGAACCCGCAGAAAGTATGATCAATTGCTAGGTCGCACGGTTCTGTGGATAAGTTGACTCACTGCTCTGTCGCTTTTACGCGTTTGCAGGCCTGCCATTGCGCCGTGAATTTGTGTTCACTCAATCTGCGACGGTTCGTTGTAGTAGCAGTTTCCTCCATCCATCAAGCGCAGGTCCTGCGAGGTCTACGATGCCGAGCTAGCAGCCTCCCTACCTCCTACCCCACGTTAAACCTCCAGCTCTCCAACAATTAGAGCAAATGTTTCCTACTGAATTTCAGGTGCTGGCTAGGTGTTCCTCCAAAGAGGTTGGGAGAGAGAGAGAGGCGGGTACCCTGGTGCGAGATGCCTGGACATCAAAGAGTCGACTGCTTATGAAACTTGAGTCGACTCCTGTCAGCGTGCTTTAGTTTTTAACGTCGCCTATATCATGCGCCGTTGTGCGGCTGCTGGTTGGGCTCGAGAGAGAGCCCGTAAGGCACAACAGGACGAGTGAGTTTCGCAAGAAGGATCAGTGAACGCCTCTCTACCATTATACACACATATATATGTGAAAAGATAAGGCGATCACAGGAACCATGGATTTATTTGCCTCACGTTTCGAAAGCAGGCAGTCTTCCATCATCGGAGGTGGGTTGCGTACCGCACGTCACAGTATATATGTGTGTATATACGTATATACGTATGTGTTAAGTATTTCATGCATATGTGCAACAAAGGTTTGACCATATAGGTGCGAGTTAAGTGGCGCGGAACTTTTACATGACTGTTTTGTCTTCTTTAAGTCAGTCATAACCCTGACCCCACTTTGGGACTAGCAGCACAAATGTTCCTACACACCTGACGCAAATGGTCCACAAACGACGTCTGGCAAGTGAGCCTCAAGCACTTCATCGAACCGAGCTTCATCTGTCCTTCGTCATCTGACTTTTTCACCGCATATCGGCTTTTTGTGTACATAGGAATGAAGGGAAAACGGTCCACCGGCTTCTTGAAGCAAAAAACCCCCAACTGGCTGGGAGAAGCTTTGAAGTGGCAGCCACCTGCTAGGCTGAACTGGGCTGGGTTAGTATCATAAGTGAAGAAGAATAGTCGAGCACTGGAACACTTCGTTTATTGTCCTGAGTTTTCAGCCTCGTACAGGAGTCCCTCGTCAGAGGTAGTGGCAGAAACAGGACAGGCGGCAGTTATAAGGCACGTAGGCCCAATCATCGACCGACGTCGCACAACTGGAGGTGACCACGCGGGCGCTGTTTGCCGGCGCCAGTTCGATAAATTGATTAACTGAGTTCTCATCCGAGGCCTAGGCTTCAATCAATTCTCGGCCTGTTTTGTTTTCGGCGTGGGCGATTATTTTGGTGGGTTAGTATCACAGACGAGGTGACGAGTTCGGTTTGACAGGTAGTTGCCTTCTTGTAACTTCCGCCATACAATCAGAGCTTGTTTACTTTGGGAATCCCAGAGGTCGGTGGACGCCCATTCCAGTACGTAAACCTGTGTTTTCCACCCGAACGCCTTGTTATTCTGTGACTAGAATGAGTGTATTTTCTATGTCGGATGAGTTAAAGTAAAATCTGGTTTAGGTGGCATCAGATGCCAGCCATCTCGTGAAACACTCAAAGCGCAGACGAAATACCTAGTTAGTCACTTAACCCTGGAACAAGATACATGCTTAAGAAACAAGACTGAGGGATATCAAAGCTTTCCAGCTTCTTCCGGTTGTAGTGGCGAGATGTGAGTCGTAAGTCGACTATCGAATCCTTTCAGGATTAGCATGTAATTGGTCCTAGGTAGGCCTTGGAATCCTGCCATGTGCACTT